ATCGAACTAGGATTATTTTAGAAATCGATATGAGATTCAAAGTGTAAAAATGTCTAGTACTATGAATATTTTAGAAAATTATTCGAGGTAAAGATGTATGGAACTACGGAAAATTACTTTAGATTCCTTTTCCTCATTCTGTGAATTCTTTGATTGGAATATAAATACTACTCGAAGTATGAATATTTTCACAGGACAATATTCCAATATTGATATAAATGGAACTTTAAAACTTTTTTAAGTGTTACAGCGATATTTCGATGGCCTCCGTATATCAAGGGAGCAATTGAATCGAATAGACGTATTGTACCGTAACGCATCGTATTGTATTTCAAATTTTTCTATCATTATAATTTATATGTACATATGTATATTCGAATAAACATACGTCAGGTAATATAAGTTTTATACTCGCCAATTATATGGCTAGCAGTTTCAGCGATTCGCCACGGGTGGCGCCACCGGTCGAAAAAATAGTGGTACTCCGCGATTAAATTGCGATGTTAACAGTGTTCTGATCGTTTATTGTTATTTTCAATGAGAGGGGATTAATCTACATTTCTTCAGCTTCAATCTGAATGCTTGGTCAACACGCGAACTGTCAGCATAACGTTGGAAGAGTAGTCCAAAGTGAGCTAACCGGGGTTCGCATGACGAGATACAGTGTCAACCGTTGCAAACAAATGCGATTTTAACAATGTTCTTGTCGTTTATTGTTATTGTCAATGACAGGGGATTAATCTAGGTTCTTTAAGCTACAAATTGAATGCTTGGTCAAAACGCAAGGGGCAATTGTTTGAGATATAAATCGTTAAGATACGTTAACATTCGGCGCCAACTATTTTCCGGTGACACACACGCGCTTTTCCTCAGTCTTTTACTATTCTTTGTATGTACCTCCTCGTGTACAATCAGCTGTGAAATTGTTAATCGGCTATCATTCCTTTTCGCGCAAAACCCACGTCCTAACAAGGGAATTATTTGCGATGGATAAATTACAATATTTTATAAGTCGGAATAATATTTAAGCCTTGTTTTACTGTATTATTGCTATACATGTATTGTAAAATCGTATATACAAGTAGTATTCAAGGGAATTGTTGTGAAAGTTTGTAAATTGTGTATTTTCATAAGATTTTTTCAACAAAAAACAAATGATACATATGCGTGGTTTATTAAGCCTATCACTACGTATATCCCATATTTTCCATAAATAAATAAATAGTAATTGGTAAACTTAGTTAAAATTGCATTTTAAAAAGTTGAAGTTTAATTTAACGTGAAATTTGAATTTGAAAAAGC